CAAAAACAAATAAACTAAACAATAACTAATAGAACCAAATTGTATACCAGAGTGTACTGTGTGTCCAAAAAAGCTTGCACTTTCTCCCATCTGCTTTAATTTTCTCAGTGATGTGTAGCAACCACTCAATGAATGAGCATCATTATAAGCCCATTTACATCCTCTCAAGTTGACAAATTCTTTGAATTTTTCTCTGAAATTGAAATCAAACAAAACATTAGAATACAATGTACATCAATGAATAATGTAAAAAGCTAGATAAACAGATAACATATCAATTAAGTATTTGAGTCGACAGCGGAGCTAAAAAGATGCAATTATTTTGATCTTTCATAAAAATTTGTTTTCAGAAATTATGACCAAAAAAAATAAAATTTTGTTAAATGTATATACCGGTAACTGACATATTCAACGAACGGAAACATGGATTTTTTTATCTGGGCTTCAACACCATATCTTATAAATTGTGTTCTTTTAATGAATAATAAATGTGTTAAAAACTAATCTGTGATTCAGACATTCTCTAAAAGTTACTAAGCATGCTACTATAACAACCTATATATCATCTGAAAGCTTAGATATAGGCAAATACAGGATATCATAAGCAAAGTTTATCTTGTTTATTTTTTTAATTTGCCTTTGTTTACTAAGTACAACCAAATAACTACAAAAATGTTACCAACAATCTGTTGCTGTAGAATATTTTAGAAGACAATGAAAAATTGAAACTCACACTGCAATCATCTAGGCTACAATGTTACAAATGTCCTATGCAATGCACAAGTCATTTGCATTACTGAAATAGCTTAAAAAACAGTGCTTTCAATAGTCGGAACAGTCAAAAAAGCACAAATTAGACATCAGGAAATTCCTCACAAAAACATTGGTACGACATAAGCTCTACATCATTCGCCCATATAAGCTTTCAGATGATACATAGGTTGGTACATGGATAGTGGAATGCTTAGTAACGTTTAGAGAATATCAGAATCATATACATATTTATTTTCAAGTGTTTTATCAATGTTGCTACATTTAAAGGTCGGTGGTCGTCACGCTGAGTCCTGTTTGATATGGGACTAATAGCGACGTACGCAACGTGTGTAAACTAAATTGTTTGTTTACATGAAATTGGAACATGTACAAAATGTATTGCACAACAAATCAACAAACTTTAAGTGGTTTAGAGATTATTATTGCGACATATAAATTTGTGAGGCTATGCATGACAGTGCTGTGGCTCTTGCAAGATAACACTAGATAAATCTTACTTGTTATCTTTATGTACAATGACATCAGAGAAGTAAACAGGTCTACCCTGTGCTCTAGGATGCATGTAAACTGGACCAACTGGTAGCAACTCAACTGGTGCTTTCTTATCATGCAATAACTGCATAAATGATGTACTGCAAATAAAACCTGTAATAATTAACAAATTTACTGTTAACTCAAGGTATTGCAGTTGAATAGTCAGGATAGCTTTGTCCCTAAAATAAAATATTCAGGTAATGCTGTAGCATCAGCAGGTCATAGGGTAGGATGATATATTTATCGATACAAAGGCCAAAAGTTCAAGTTCAATATCTTAATGATTGAAAAACATGAGTACAACATCTGGCTTACAACACATAAACTGAATCTAGAGATTGTACTGACCAATCACGTACAACTGATTGTATTGGTAATGCTTTCTATAAATATATAGGAATCATTTAAGACAGTATCTAAAATTGACAAGAGTAATGACTTTGTTTCAAGATGGCACAGCACTGTGCTGATGCATATCCAGATATTACACCAGTGCTTAAGCAATATCCAGATATGA